CGCAGCCGCGGAGCACCGGCTTGCCAGGCGGGCATTAATGGTGTCTCTTTCCCTCCCCACTCCCCCTTTCCTCCCTTCTCTTCTCCTCCCGCCCCGCTCCCAGGTGAAAATCTGGTTTCAGAATAAAAGATCCAAGATCAAGAAGATCATGAAAAACGGGGAGATGCCTCCGGAGCACAGCCCCAGCTCCAGCGACCCCATGGCCTGCAACTCTCCACAGTCACCTGCGGTTTGGGAACCTCAGGGCTCGTCCCGCTCCCTCAGCCACCATGCCCACGCACACGCTCACCCTCCAAACTCCAACCCGTCCCCTGCATCCAGCTACCTGGAGAGCTCCACTTCCTGGTACCCCGCTGCCAACTCCATCAACTCTCATCTCCAACCCCACGGCTCCCTACAGCACCCGTTAGCGCTGGCCTCTGGGACGATTTATTAGAGCCTGACCATTATTTTTTTTTTTTTTTTGTTGCTCCTTGGACTCCTGTGTTTTACTGTTAAGGAATAATAACGAAAGGAATGCATATGGGGAATTTTTAAAAGGGAAAAGAAACAAACAAAAAGATTAAAATGTGTAAAGCTTGTGCATGTAACTTATTGCATTTCAAAGGAAACCCTTTTTTATACAATACGGACGTTTTTTGGCTCAGCTGTGGACACTATCATTGGTGCCTTGAAATCTATGACCTCAACTTTTCCAGAGACTTTTTTCAATGTTATTTTAACCCTGTAAATAATTGTAGATAGAGGAATTAAACTGTATATTCTGAATAAAATAAAATTATTTCGACCAAGAGAAATGTTTCCAAATTACCCCTTCTTCTATTAATAAGAGGGGAAAAAAAATATAATACTGATTTGCTTTCAGAAAGAAAGTGAGGAAAGAGGCCGGGAGCTGGGAGTTCGTGTTCTGCTCCAGTGCCTTGCGGTGTCCCCGCAGTCCGGCGGGATCTGGCCCCTGCAGGTACCCGCGGTGCTCTCTCCCCGCTGGGAAAGGGGCTCTGGCAAGACCCCGTCCATCCCATGCACAGCGCTGTAGGCTGGAGGGAAAGCTGCCCATCCTGATGCGAGAAAGCGAATCTCTCGCCTTAAGCCGCCCTGAATCCTTTCCTGAGAGCAATTAGCGTCGAGAGCTGCACACTCCACAGCCCATCAGTCGCCCGTGTGCGCTCGGCTAATTATACAAATTACGTTTCCGTCAAAGGGAGCCACTAAATATGAGAAAAGAATAAAATGAGGGCCCCGCTCCCCTCGCTCCTGCTAAAAGCCTGCGGCGGCTTCGACTGAAGGAGGACCGTTTCAGAGGTACTTTTATTGTTTTTGTTTTATTTCTACACGATTTAGGGAAAAACCCGTGCGTCAAAGGGCTGCCCAGTGCTGGGGCACGGCGTGGCCGGTGTGCTGCCCGTGGCGCGGACCCCTCGCACGGAGCACGGGCTCTCTCTCTCTCTCTCCCAGCCGGAATCCCGGCCCGGGGCCCCGCGGCCATGCAGTTCCCAGGGGGACCCCCATCCCGGGGGCAGCGGTAACTCACGGCCGTGCGGGTACGGCAGCAGCAGTGAACGTGCCAAAGGCGCCGCTGGAAGGATCCCCGAGATGAAAGATGCCCCTCTGGCAGCTGAGGCTGGCGGGGAGAGCGCTGGATCGGGGGGAGGCGAGGCCTGAAAAGGCACGCTCCTGCCCTGGGGCGCCCTTACCTATCTCCACTCTTCCTCCCCGCTGCCCTCCCCCTCCTTTTTTCTCCTTCCTCTCCTGCCTGCCATGTTTTGTGCGTGTGAGTGTGGTTTGTCCAGTTTTCTCCCCAAAGAAAGAAGCCCGGTTTGCTGTTGTGTAGCAGGTTTGGGGGCTGGTAAATGTCTTGCAGTACAATAGAGCAGTTTGTTCGGTTGCGCTCCCTGCACGCCGGGGAGGCTGCGGGGGTGCCGCGGGCGCTGCTGCCCACCCCTGCGGCCGCCGCTCCCCATCTCTTCCGCCCTTCTGGGGACCGTCTCCTGCTCTTTTAACTCGCTAGGTTTCAGGGACTTCCCGCGACTCTGGGGCTGAGGAAGAGCTCGGCTTCATCTCTTCTGCTCACTTCCATCCTGCGCAAAAAATTTTTTTTTTAAACTTGACCCTTTCATTTTCTTCCGCTCTTTTCCTCATTTCCCTCTAGACAAGCATTCAACCTGCAGTGAGAAATTCTCCCCTCCCGAAGGTCACTTCCCTTTGCAGAAAGGTTTGGACACAGGAGGTGGAAGTCAATTTCCCAGGTGGGTCCACCCACCCCTTTCTCTGAGGAGCTGCCGGGGGCTGTTGGGTTACGGTAACCTGCCGGGGCCGAGACGGCCCGGACGGACAGCGCAGGAACAGCTCCGGGAAGGCGGAGTGCCGGCAAGCAGCATACCGGGCAGAAATGGGAATTCACACAGCGGCCGCTGGACCAGGCATCGCTCGCCTCTCCAAGCCAGCCGAGTCAGCTCGGCTTGGTTTCCATGCCAGTCCCCTACCCTGCTTAATTTCTCCTCCTCCCAGAGCGGGTTGGTGTTGGGCAGGTCGGGAAAAGCCTGGCATCCCTCCCCTGGAGAGGATAAGAAAGAAATGCCCTCGCCGGGGCTCCCCGTCTCATGGCCCCGACCTCGATGAACGCTGAGCGCCGCCCGCCCCTCCGGAGA